GTTGTGGTCTGTCCTCATCCTTGTTGAACAAAGATCAATGTTCTTGGGATATATGAGATCTGCATACCAGAATTTCAGTATGAACCAAATTTGTCTCAACATTACTAGTCAACTTGAACACCCACTCACACGCCTAACATGGGCCTAGGTCAAATGTCCATATTGAGTCATTAACCTGACTTTAATACCATGTTAAATATGTTTGGATCTAAACCCCAAAAGTTAGCTTAAAGGGTGAAGTTGTCCTCACATATTTACACATTCAACAACACGATAACCTAAGTAATGTGGGACTTCAAACAAACTCCAACAACACAATCAACATATTCAACACCCATCCTCACGCCTAGCATGGGTCTGGGTCAAATGTTCATATTACACTCCTTAACTCGGCTCTGATACCATGTTAAATATGTTTGGATCTCAACCCAAAAGCTAGCTCAGTAGGTGAGGTTGTCCTCACATATTTATACACCAACAACTCAGAAACTTAAGCAATGTGGGACTTCAAACAAAATCCAACAACACAAACGTCAACTTTAACAAAATGAAGAAGAGATTGTCAATGGCAAATGTGAAGGGCTATTGTTAGAAACCAAAGTTTTTTTATGTCATGTAAGAGAATATTTGTCTTGTGGATTTCATTGCATGTATTGTACAAGAGTGTCTTGACTATTAAGATGTTACTAAATCATAGCGATAATATCTCAATTAACGAGATTGATTTGTTAAATAAATACAAATGAATATATACTAAATATAAAATATATTTGCATATTTTAATAAATAAAAAATATGACAAGAGGCATAGTTTGGACATAGTATTACAATACTCATTCTCATACATCGGTTTTAAAAATAAATAAATAAAAACTCTTGTAGCCAAATTCATACTTGTGTGAATACCAATCTTTACACATGTGTGATTTATAAATACTTAAGTAGTAATATTCATATTCATTTCTATTACAATAAAAAATTATAAAATATTATATCATTTTAAGTTTTTAATAATATTAATAAGATACTTAAAAGATGTATTGTTAAATCATGAAATAAACGAATTTTTTTACCCAAATAATCCAATTTTTCAAAAAAATACCCAAAATACCCTACTTTTCAAAAATATTTCCAAAGTACTCCTGTTAGGATTTTGGTATACTCAAGGACGCCATTTTAATTGACGACCCTTTGCTAAGGGCATAAGGGTGTCGCCAATTGGATTGGAGACACATCATGCAGTCTCCAATCCAATTGGCGACTTGGTTATGGACTTGAAAGGGTGTCGACAATTCATCTGGAGATAGGGTGTATTTCGTAATTTTTTTTATAAAAAATAAATAATATTATCATTAATTAAAAAAACTATTACATAAACTAATGTTGGCGACCGGGTGGGTCATACCGGCCACGGGCTCCACATCCCCTAGGCACCCTAACTCGTTGCACTCGGTCCCGTCGTTGTTGACTCACGCCAGGTGTTTGAGGAGTTGAAGTCTTATGAACATTCTCAGATGGTTCCCTAAGGATTTCTTGCATTTCATTAAGTCCTGTGTGTTGAAATTGAGTGTGCGACCCATCCTAGAGTAGTTCGGATGTGATGAATGGGTCATTGGTGTGCGGCCTAGACGGTTGAAGGGAGACATTGGTGTGAATGACTCGTTGGTGAAAGGTTGAAATGGTAGTATTATTTGAAAGTCATAAGGTTGTTGATATGGTTGAGTGTGTAGGCCAGGGTATGATGTCGGAGCGTTTTGGCTATGAAAGATGTTCGGGTATTATGGCTATGGTATGATGTACCCTCATTATGGTTATGTCTTGATGTTATGTTTGGGCCATAGCCATATTGGGTTTCTGAGTAGTAGTCAGTGTGTTGGAGATGGTATGAGGATGCTCTTGGTATCGTGGTTGGGCGTTTGGCATGTTTGGATGGTTAATGGGTTGGTAACTCTGTTGGGTAGGGGGTTGTGAGTAACATGGTCTTTCTGGTGGGTTAGACGTTGAAGCTTATTGTGTGTAGGTGGTCTGGCGTGGGTCGTATAAATACCTGTCTTCGGAGACAAACCCACTTGCAACCGATCTGTACCAAGCCATATAATTAATAGTGGGTATAAACGGGGTTTCCATCACCGAGTCACGTAAGACATGGGCGATGCGGTTCATCCATTTACGACGCTCAGATTTTGTAAAATCCTTCCAGTCGGGAAAGTCCCATTGATCATTAACTCTTTTTAGATGCCATTTACTGATGTCAACAGGAGGATCTGGGATGTTTTGATGCATTCCAAATTGTAGTTTGACACATAAACTGTTGCGCATATCTACAGTTGTGAATCTGATGATCGGAACGCGTGTAATCCAAATGGCAACATCTTCCTCTTTGACTTCATGTAGGTGTTCCATGTTTAGATATGGACGCCATATGAACTGAAGAAGAGAAAAATATTAGATCATAAAATAATTGATATAAAATATAAATTGATTTGTTTATAGGCCTTACATCTGCAGGTGTTAGGTGATCCAACAGATTGCGATATTGAATGATACAATGTCTAGGGCATCTATTGTAAGTCATACCCTTAGTCAACCATCTAAACCACAAAAAGTTCAAATTCAATTAGTTAGAAACAATTATAAGTAAGGTGAAATAAACAAAGATTAAGTTAGTAGCTTACTTTTGTGTATACGAGAAGGAAAAGTTGTTGTGGTTGACGGGCGCTAGGGATGGCAATCTAGACCAACCCCATGCTTGGAGAAAAACGGCGCATCCAGAAAAAGTAGATGTGTTTTTTTTTGTGCAATTACACAAAGAGCTATACAAATAAGACAGACAAGCGAAACCCCACCTGTACTATCTTTTTTTAGTTAGGTCTCTCAATAAAGGTAAATACATAATGGGCATAAAAGAACCAGTGCCCTCGGGAAATAAAAATAAACCAATTAAAAGCATAAGATAACACCTGGTTTTTATTATTTTCATTTCTTCTATAGAATCTTCATCTAATATAAAACCGGCGTACCATGATTTTAGGCGCGAAAGTAAGATACCTTGGCCTCTTGAGTTCTCATCTAGCAAGTCGGCACCCAAGAGTTCCTCACAAATTGAACCATGAAGGTTTGTTGTTCCATTGATCGCCTTACCATCAATATGAAAACCGATTAACATGTACACGTCCTCTAAGGTCACGGTACATTCACTGGTTGGAAAAAAGAATGTGTGTGTCTTTGGGTGACATCTCTCTTGCAAAGCTAGTATAAACTTTGCATCAACCGAGTAAGACATGATTTTGCTTACATGTTTGAAACCGGCGAGCTCAATATATGGTTGAATTAATTCGTCGGGTGCAACATATTCATGGGCACGACACCGAAACTTAGAGACTTCCTACATAATTGTCAAATAATTTTTTTTTAACATAGTCATTAAAAATTAACATATACAATAAAATTGAGCACTTACATAATTCGCGATATTTGCGACATTGCCTCTATGCTTTTCACCCATTGTCAACAAAGCCAAGTATTCAGTGAAAGCATAATGAAATTGATGAAAGAGGATACTATCAGAGTCAGTACATGTGCAGTTACAGTATTTGACCGTCATAGACAAATATTCAGTGTACAAGAAATAATGAACCATAATGAGGGGAGACCTAACTTATCTTATGTTTTCAGACTAAACAGATGTTAGTGTGACTGTGGCAAGTATCAGGTTTACCGAGTACCTTGCTCACATATTATTGCGGCATGCGCACATGCTCGTCAGGATGCTTATCCTTCATACCAAGGTGACATAGTTTGGCACAACGATGATATGAGAAGAAACGCATTATAACGATGGAACCCTTTATTTGCAAGATATTCACATCTATGGTTGAGAATTTACTACACTGTGCACACTCTGTGCTCACTTTTAAAATAAATAGTAAAAATTAAAAAATACCACCTAATAATCAATAAACGAAATATATTAAATTATCTAATCCATTGCATCGACTAATAAACAATTAACAAAAGATACTTATTTTTAAAAATGGTCATAACTATATATTATTACTAAATATACAAAAAATACATCAAAAATCCAAAAACATTTGTACGAGATAGTAAAAAGTTTCTTTCAATTTAATCGAAATTTTTAGTTTCAACTCGGTTTTGTGCGCGCATCAGTATTAAAACTCTGTTAAGAGATAACATGTCACACTTTATAGTCATTCTTTATTAAAAAAAGAAAGTAGTCTTCACAATTAGACACATAAAATATTTAATTTCTATAAATAAATAAAGAAAGTACATGAAGAAAAATTAGGGGCCCATTTGATCATTTTTCCAACGCTCTTGTCTCATGTTCACGGGTTATTTCCCTCTGAATTTAAATTATAATATTGCAATCTACCTACCACAATAGCACAAATTCCCAATGTATTTTCAACCATTAATCATCATTATTCATTACATTAGTATAAGTTATGGGCCTCTAATCAAAAAGGGTTTCATCATTCATGTACCTTAAAACGGAGGGTGTTTATTTCCTTTTCATAATTATGACATATGTTTCTAATTTCTAATTTTCCAAAATTTCATCCTAAAACAAAGTAATACTTGAAATAGATCTTGAAAGAGAATTGTTGAAAAAGTTGCCACAACCACAAAAACCGGTAAATGGCTTAATAACAGTTAAATCAACTTCGTAATTGTTTTCCTTAAAAAAATATTGGAATTAGTTGTGACATAATCCTTTTCTCAAACAGTGCCATGTGGAGAGATTAACATTAACCTCTCCGAATATCTCTCTCTAAAAACCTTGTTTGTTCTTCCTACCAACAACAACTGATTCAGTATCAAAGATTTCCTCCGCAAAGGTTGTTCTTTTTTCCTAACCGTTAAACCCCTCTTGTTTCTTTTACAACAAAAACAAAACCACATTCACTATTTGTAACCCGTGTTCACATTTTTTTGTCTTTCACTTTCATTTTCTTGTAATCTTATCAAACTCTCAAATGGGACAAGAATCAGATTCCAAAGCCAAGTTGGTCTTAGAGATTTGTTCCATTTCAACTCGTTCTGCAACATGTGTTCATACCATTCTTTCAAACCCAAACAAAACAACTTTCATTGACTGGTATTGCATTCTTGGAGTAAGTTCTTTTAAAACTTTCTTTTTGGTTCTTTCTCGTTGATAAATATATCTTAATATTGGGTTCTCATAGGTGGAAGAAAATGCAGGGGTGAATGCCATTCGCAAGAGATACCGTAAATTGGGTAGGCTTAACTGGTTTTGGTTTGGGTTTTAGTATTGTATGAACAATGAGAAAGAAATTCTTATTTGGTTTTTGTATGTAGCTTTGCAGCTTCACCCAGATAAGAACAAACATCCAAAAGCTGAAATTGCCTTCAAGCTTGTTTCTGAGGCAAATGCATGTCTAACTAATGCAGCAAAGAGAGAAGCTTTTGATTTTGCAAGGTACAAGCATTTCTGCATTGAATGCAAGAAAATTCCATATACAACAGACAATGTTTCTGGAAATTCCAATGGTTCAAGTTTCAAGGCATGGAATATTATCACAAGGTCAAGATCTTTAAAGTTTTGGAGAAATATTAGGGATATTAGAGAGAGATTTAAGGAGGAGGCTAATGTGATTGAGAATTGTTTGAGAGTGAATTCAATGTCAAGGACAGAATCTCCACTGTACAATCCGGATAGTCATCTAGATAGAAGCAAGTCACAGAATAGATTTGATAAAGATACCCCTATTTTCAATCCTTCAGATTACTCATACCAAGATTATCCTCATATGAGAGGCCATGTTAACAAGAATTCTTCCACATTTTGGTATTTACAGACAAATAGTATGCTTCACAATGAAAAGAGAGGACCGCGGCTTAGCTCCCCTGTTTTTGAAGTCAAAAGTAGGAGTATGTTTACAAACCAATTTGCTTTTGTACCAACAAGATATTAGCTTTTCAACATTTAATTAAAGCAGTATGAGTTTGCATTATCTTCTTTAAAAGATTAATTACCTTTCATATTGAGTTTGTCATGATACATGAAACTGTTTAAATCTCTTAGAGTAGAAGCAGAATTGATTAATTTAAATATGGGCTAATGTAGCAAGAAAAAATAAATGAAAAGGATAAATAATATAAAATGTGAAATTGCTGCAATTTAAAATGGACAAAATTTGATCACTACTTAAGGTGATGTCAATGTAACTGATAAGTTTTTTAGGTTTGTCAAAATTACAATGAAAGCAGCTTTCTTGATAACATTAGTTTTATGCCTTTTAACAAATTTTCTAAAATAAACCCATTACAGCCTCCATAGAATAACAAGGCATGTGCTACTGATTCTCTCCTTTTGAGATATAGTTTCTTTCTCCATGGAGCATAGATGAAAATTATTGGGTTGCTTGTTCTTTAGACTTTGGGTTCTTGAGAGTTCCATTATCAATCAAAGGCTGCAACTCTTTTTTTGCAAGCTTTTGTACCTTTGAGTCTGATGATTCCAAAAAAGCAAGGATAATCTTACAACTGCAATCACAATGCCAAGAAAAGGAAAAACATGAGAAATTGGTCTTGCGCACCCTAATTCCATTAGAGGATAGGATAGTATTATATGAGCAAATGAGACCTACCTATGACCATGGGCCCATAACTCAGTTTTCCCTTTTAAAGCTTCCTCCCATAAGACGGAAGCAAAGTCAGGGCAATCCAAAATTAGTTTTCTGATGGTCCTACTTGAAAAAAAATTTTCAAAGACATGCTCCTCTTGGGAATCTTCTGACTTAGGCACTCCTGCAAGAGATGCTATTGCTTTGTGGAGAGAATTAATCTTATCATCCAAAGTTGGATGCAGTATGCCTCCAAAACCCCCTGTTGCAACCTGTATGTGCCATTTATTTTATCAAAGAGGAGAGGCAATGCTTGGTAACAAAATGAGTTTGCGAAATTTAAATATCAGTCTTTATTACCTCATATATGACCTCTTTGCCAAAATTTGAACGTATCAGTTCTCCTACATTCTCAATGCATATATCAAAAAAAGGTTATGTCAACAACCTTTCCCATAAAAATATATAGAGGAATACATCACAGTATAAAACACAAATGGGTCTTTCTTTCCACTCTCAGCTAGGTCAGTATCATCCTCAGAAGTTTTATCTTCATTAACTTCGGGCGCTTTCACTTCTCTGCTTAAGTACAAAAAGGCGGAAAAGATGGGAACAAAAAAAAACCTTGAGAGAAAGAGAAGGTATAGATGAATTCATAGATGCGGGTTCATCGGGACTGAAATAGCGTGAACAATTGGGATGCAGTAGTTGGAGTAAAGGACGTCTTCCATTCTGAAAATCCATAAGTTAGAATTATATGCCCATTCTGAAAATCCATTCTGAAAAATTAATTACTAAAGAAACCTTGGCATTCCCATATTTCAGACAAAGTACTCCAATTTTGGCTCCATCCTTAGTACCAATAATTCTGACAAGGAGTGGACTTGACAACTGTTGGAGTATATCTGTGACAGAGGACTTTAAAAAAACTCAATTTAGATAACAAAAAGCTATTGTCATAATCAAATTACTTTGCAGTAACAAGAACCACAACAGATTGTTGGGGGAAAGGGAAAGAAGATCTAGAAATTGTAGGTGGAAGGGGGAGACAGAGAGAGACAGATACCTTATCGGCGATGCTAAAGTATTCCAGTAAGACTCTGTGTAAGATAGAGTGATCAACTATCCCTTTCTCTAAAATTGGCTGAATCACTCAAGACATATGACGCGAAACTGCGCCTTTTTGTAGACCCAACTTGGACATTACATCTAGTAATCTGACATACAATTAAAAGCTAAGTAAAAATACTCCAGAAAGAGGAAAATAAAATAAAGCACTGTGATGAATTCCATCCAATCGCGACAAATAAAATTAAGATATTAAGTAAGATCAGTTGGGGAAGAGGAGCAATTATTGCTAAGAAAATTAGGAGACTGCTTTATAGATAAAATTAAATAATTCAACTTGTTATGTTTTCTAAGTAATATTAACTATTCTTAATTTTAATTATCAAACTGTTTAAAGCGATAGTATGAAGGTATATTCTTTGGTGTTCTTGCGTATAAAGCATAGGAAACCCATAGTTAAAATTGCTTCTGCCTTATATGCAGGTCTCAATGAAATAAAATAAAAAAAGTTGGAACAGGTGTTTCAACTCTCCTCATAGAAGTTTGGTGAGGTTGAGTATATATTTATATTACCCATGCATTAGCAAACTCTCCACCAGAACAACAATCAACTCTAAGTTCCAGCAATGATTTATATCGTGTATAAAATGCGGCGCCTAGAAGAGATATAGACAAGCAACAATGTCCCAAATGTTTAATGTAACTCCTAACAGCAGAGTCTTTACCTGGTCTCCTTCGCCGAGACTAAGTCCTTAAACAACTGTAGCTCTGTGGAATATAACTCCAAAAGCAGCACTTGCCAAGTCATATGCATGCTCAGCAACTGCATAACATATAGATACACAACTTAATTAAAGGACATGTTATGTCAGCTAAATACTGAAATATTTGAATTATTGACAATGACAATTAGTATTGTTGTGCAAGAAAAACAGCAGAAATGCGGAAAGAAAGCAAAAACAAATTTTGAATCCCCCCCCTTCCTTGTTATAAAGGTCCAAAACAAGTGAAAAGCTTTGACCTGGTAAGCTATTGAAAAATCTGAAAAATAACTGAAGCAAACCATGAACAACTGCCAAATATTGCTCAAACCTATGATACATACCAACTGATCCAACCATGTGGCGAAGAAGAGGAGCAACGTGACCACGAAGAGTGGAGATAAAGCCTGCCAGTTGTTTCTTCGAGGCTGAAAATTGGGGATATCCAATTAGAAGAAAGTGTCACACTGATATTTCACACACACACAATATTATACAAACACATATTTCACGCGGACCATTACCATTGTCAAGCATTTTCTTTACTAAGTGAACTGCATATGCATTGTATGCTAGAGTTAGAAAATGAGGACGTAGCTCTTCAAATACTTCATCTCTTTCAGCTTGTGAACAATGTTTGACACAAGTCTTTCAATTAAAAAAAAAAGCCAAATATTAAAACTGCAATATTTACACTTAAAGGATGCGAAAATGAAAAATAAATTTTGAATAAGTATACCTGAAGGACACGAGAAGTGAGACCCTGCAATTTCATGAATCTTCCCCTTCATTTTTGTTAGAGCTTCTGTCACCAACCTACCATTAAATTAAAGTCCAGAGTAAATAAAAAATGAATACAAACAGAAGAGAAAAATAAAAAAGAAATATATTTCCTTCATATCTTTCTGCAGAGTAACATACTTAGATCTGTCTGCTTTCGCAATCTCGTGACGCCTCATCTTTTCCCATAGTCGCGCAGGATCCTAATTACAATTAGGTATTGAATTTACCAAAATTTCAATTAATATGCAACAGTAAAGGCTTCAATTCAATTAATTAATAAAAATAACAACAAATTTAACAAATAGTGGTGGTATACATAGATACAAAAACGAGAACACTAACTTGTTCAAGAGTGTAATGGCGTCTTCTCTTCTTTTTTCTAGAATCCGCAAGTTCCTGAAACATCAAAACAACGAAACAATCAAAATCCGAGTTATTAGATTCAGAAAAAGTGGCTTCGAGATTGTGAAATTGCGAAAACCAGTGAGAGAAATTAACCTTGGCTGCACCAAATGAACTCCAGTTCTAGAGTACTCTGCCACGGGATCCACAGAAGACACCTTCTTTATAGGAACATTGGGACATTGTTGATTGAATTCCAAGACCGCGGATACCGCTGCTTCAGCAATTTTGATGGAATCCTGATGTTTATTCTGGTACAACTCAAGTTGCGCCATTTCCACAACAGATAAAGTAAGTAGCAAACAATTTTCATACTGTAGACATCTCCACCACTAAGAACCATATCAAGCCATCCACTAACGTCTTCCTCAGGAGCAGATCTGCAATAAAGGACAGAAGAGAACAACATTCACTTTGCAAAATCACAATCAAGGAACAAACGGTTCGTCGTTTCCGTAGCAGATTCACACCGGCAACAAGTAGGATCCATCACAACTCCTTTCTTCCCAAGATTGCTCTTTGTGGGAAGAATATCCTTTGCCAATCTCCACAGGAAGTTCTTGACTCTACCATGTAGAGGAGCCTTCCAGATCCTATTCCACAGCAGGGGCCAAGGAGGAGCAGAAGACAATCCTCCAAAGTATAAGGAAACTACAGTTCATGATTATGTTGTCTTCTCCATGGCAAGAGGCCTAGACGGAACTTGTGCTTTGCCGTATTTCAGGATTTGAAATTTCTGATTAATAGTCACACACAACAAAGCTTGATAATTATGTTTACATAATTAAAAGAACTTGTGTGTAGTTTATATTATTGCCAGTAATAAGTCCCACATCGGTTGGGATATGAAATAAAATGAGGAAACACGTTTATAAATAATTAGAATATAGAGTTAAGGAAATTTACCTGTCCTGTCAGGGGTGAAAGGCAACTAGTCTATGATCGATTAGAGACGACTGGTTGTGCCGACACAAAGTTTCGAACACACCTGTATTATGTGCGGGTGGGTCTTCCTTACTTTGGTTAGGCCTGTCCGTCAATTTTTGGAAGCTTCTCCTTCAAGGAGAGGCTCACTTAATAATATTCAACAATTTTAATTATTAGTTTTTGTTGGTAATAATTTTATTTTATTGTATCGGGCACTTGTAATATGTTTGATAATAATTTTATATTACATATTACTAGGATATTAATAATATTTTAAATGATTAAGCAAATTAAAGTTAACTTATCAAATATTGACTAAATTTCGAGGCGAAAATATCTTTATAAACTGCCTTGGTCATTTTATAATATTTTTGTATGGCAAACAAAAATTATGATAAAGTTTATAAA